AGATAGATAGATAGATAGATAGTTAGATTCATGGGGCCCTAATGTAACTTGACACGCTCCCTTTTGTAACATTTGATCCCTTTTGTAACTCATTGCGGTTACAAAAGGGATCACGATCCCTAATGTAACCTCACGAGTTCCCTAATGTAACTTGATGTTCCCCAATGTAACYTGACACGTTCCCTAATGTAACCGGAGGTTCCCTTTTGTAACTCAAGGCGTTCCCTTATGTAACTCCACATTCGCATTCAATTTTCTGTCATTTCTTTTTATTTATTTCAAATAAAAAAGGAGATATGGTAAATCGCAATGCTTTTTTCTCTCCAGTCTTCCTCTCTTGTGTTCTGTTGTGGCACTTCAGGTTCCTTTTCTTCAAGGTTCTGTACAATTGAGTTAGCTAACTTGAAGTGGCTGGCATCTCGTCGTATTTCTCTGCCGTCTGTGGTTCTTCTGGCTGATATGGTAGATCCTTCTATGCGATATATCACGTAAAATGCAGTCTCGTATGCTGTTGTCCACTTGTTTTTTTTCTTCTGTTTAACTAGGACGTAATCTCCTAATACGTAACTGTGTTCTTTGACATATCTGTTCTCTGTGTACTTCCTGGTCTTCTCTTTATACTCGTCGTCGTTCTTTGTTATGGTCCTTTGTAGGTCTGCTTCCTGCTGGAATTCTCTAGGTTGGTGAACCAGTTTTGTTCTGATCTGACGATTTGTCATTGCCGTGTAGGGTGTAGTCTTGGTAGCGGGTTGTGGCGTCGATTGATACCCTATCAACATGTCTTGTACCGCTATATTGCTGTCCTTTCCTTGTAAGTGTGCGATCTGCTCAGTTTTGTTTAACATCTTCATAAAACTTTCCGCTTCTCCGWTGGTTCTTGCGTGTTCTGGTGTCACTCGGTGGTGATGGAATCCCTCTTCTTTAGCGAATCTCTCGAGTTCTGCTGAATTAAAGGGTGGTCCGTTGTCTCTCTCCAAGCGCTCCGGTGTTCCGTAAGTAGCAAAAATGTTCTTCAGCTTCTGCATCGTTGGTTTGTAGGCGGTAGAGTAGACTCTTTCTACTTCAGGGTACCTAGTCCTCTTGTCTATGACCACTAGGTTATAATGACCGTCTGGGTATGGTCCCCCGAAATATACAGACACGACTTGCCACGGTCTGTCCGGAATTGTAGACGGTTTGACTGGTTCTTGTGTCCTCTCCTTGATGATTACTTGGCATTCGAAACACTGTCCGATTATTTGTTCTACTAGATTGTTCATGGTTGGAAACCAGTATTTCTCCCTCAACATCTGCTTGGTCTTTGTAACGCCTAGGTGTCCAAGTTTGTGTGCTGTTTTTACCACTTTTCTTTGAACGCTTGCTGGCACAACGATCTTATTGTCTCTAAGAATAACTCCATCGACTTCGTACAGTTCCTGCCTTATTTGATAAAATGGACTGATATCTGGGTCTCTCCGGTAGTGTTCCCAGTCCTCCGTTATCATTCGGTCACGTAGTTTCTGTAATTGTGTGTCTTTCGCTGTTTCTTGTCGTATCTTGTCGAGAATAACGGCGTGCTCAACTTCAGTGACTTGTTTGACTACTGCTCCTACCTCCTCGTTGTCAGTCTCCGGTAATGGATGTCTTGACAAGAAGTCTAGTGGATCCTTCTCATCTTTCCCTGGCTGGTAGATGAGTTCAAAGTCCACATCCTGCATGCTCATGATCCATTTCTCGATCCGTGGTGGCACTTTGGCCGTTGCTTKGTTGAACATGGGTAACAGGGGCTTGTGGGCTGTAATGATTCTGAACCTTGGTGCCCCGATAAGATACATCCAGAATCTCTCTTTAGCCTAGGCGATGGCTAAAGCGTCCTTTTGGTTTGACTGTACCTTTTCTCTGGGTCCGTCATGATTCTGCTGATGAAGTGTACGGGTTGCAGTCCCTTGGGTGTCTCTTGAAAGAGTCCTGCTGATAGTCCTTCATGGAAGCTTGCTTCAGTGCGTACGATGATTGGCCTTCTTGGGTCGTAGTATGCTACTGTATTCTCACTGGCAATGCTCTCTTTCAGCTTGATGAAGGCGGCTTCTTCTTTCGCTCCCCATCTGAACTGTGTGTTACTTTGTGTTAGCTCTCTTAGCGGTGCTGTTAGTGTCGAGTACCTCGGTATGAACTTTGAGAGATACCCGAGCATTCCTAAGAAGCTTCTCACTTCTTCCTTGGATTTCGGTTGCTTGCACTCTTTCATGGCCCGAACCTTGTCTGGGGTTGGTTTCAGTCCGTCTTCTGTGAATCTGTATCCGTAGAATTCTATTTCTTCCACGCCGAACTGGCACTTGTCGCGGTTGAAGGTGACTCCAAAATCTGCTGCTCTTTGTAGCACTTGCTCCAAGGTCTGGTTGTGTTCCTCTCGGTTGCGCCCTCCGATGAGTATGTCGTCGCGCTGGCTTAGGCATCTTGGTATATCGCCGAATACTCTGTATATTGTCTGATCGAGTAGATCTTGTGATGACTTGGCTCCAAACACGAGTCGTTTGGGTCTCATGTTTCCCCATGGGGTACTGAATGTTGCTATTGCTCTTGAGTCTGGGTGTAACTGTAACTGGTGGTAGCCTTGTCTCAGGTCCATCTTAGAAAAGATCTTGCAGTCGTGAAACTTGTAGGTAAAATCTTCGACGATCGGTCCCTGGGTTATACTGTTCCTGTTCATGTATTCATTTTGTACTCTAAGATCCACACTTGCTCTGATCATGTTGGGCTCTAATTTTTCCCTTGGCGTGTCCTTGAACTTGGGTTTAGGCTGAACCACTAGGGRTGAGCACCATGTGACTGGTTCTCCAGGTGGTACTCTTTCGAAGATGTCTTCCTCAATACCTTGTTCAATCCATTTTCTCAACGGCTCTTTAAGATGGTAGGCGACCGGCCTTGGTTTCTGGGCTACAGGTAGTGCCTCTGGTTTCATGCTGAAGTTAACATACAGTTCCTCGTTTCTCTTGTTGTCTCGTATCCTTCCGATACCTTCAAATACCTTGCTGTGTCTGGTAACGATCTCGTCGATGTCCGTCTGTGGCTGCTGTTTGTTCTTGTCTGCGATCCTTCAGATCTGTGAGTCCTGTTGCGTTCCTAAGCTGTTTGCTTCAGCTAGGGTGCCTCAGTTCCTTAACATGCCGAGTTCCGTAAGAGTGGCTCTTCCGATCAACGGTGCTGAATTAATCCGTCCTCGAACGACGATGAAGGTTGTGGATACTCATCTGGTTTTGTTTCTAACGATGGCGTTTAACTCCCCTTTTACAGGTAGTCTGTACTGCAGTGCGTTTAGCTTTACCTTGCTTCCGCGCAGCTGTTTCTGCGGTTCCTTGGACCGATTGGTCAGCGCTTTGAACTGATGCTCATCCAAAATGTTGACATCCGCGCCACTGTCAGGTTCAACTCCGACATCAACGTCGTCAATTCTCACCGTTATTATCTTGGACTGGTTGATTCCACTCTTGAGGTTTTTTGCTTGCTTGAGGTGTTGGTAGAATTCGTCGTCTGAGCTGGTCAAGTCTTGTTGCTCTTCGGTAGTGGTTTTTTTCACTTGTTTTTTTCTTGGGTTCTCGGTTTTACCCTTGTACTCTTAAGGTTTTGTAAACGGTTTTGTTTTGCAAACTATTGCATAATGGCCTCTCTTATGACATTTCATGCAATTTTTGCCTCGGGCAGGGCAGTTTTGCGGTTGTACGTGCTTTTGTTGTCCGCATCTATCGCACTGTTCGCGCCTCTGTCTGCACGGTAATTCTTTGGACTTTGTGGGTTGCCTGTGGTGCTTTGTGATTTTCGCAATTTCCTTTGAAGTTTCCTTCATATCTTTTATCATGGTGTGAGTATCTTCCATTTGACTTGCTTCTGCTAGAAATTGATCTAGATTCCACTTTTTGCTTATGGCTTTTTGAATCAGTGTGCGGCTCTCGCTTGTTTGAATTAAATGTTCTAAAATTCGCTCATCTAAATTGTCGCCAAACTCACATTCCATCGCCTGTTCTCTCAGCCTCGCGGCGTATGCTAATGTCGTCTCACTAGCTTCAGGTTTCGTGGCAAGGAATTTATATCTAGCATGGTGTTTATTCCGTTKGGGTAGAAATTGCTCATTTAATTTCGATTTCAACTTCTCGTATTCATTCATCTCTCCTGCGCTAGGATTTTGCAAACTTTTCTCTAATCTAGCGATTTCTTTCCCGCCATAAATAATTAATGCGTCTTTCTTATTGGTCGGATCACTGATCTTGAAATACCTGAATTCTCGCTCAATTTCTTCTAGCCATTCCTTCCAGCGCTTTCCTGTTGTAATCTGGTCCTCTCCTGGTGTAAATGGAGGTGTTTTGGGGTTTCTAGTTTCTGTAATAACTGTTGCTTGTTGTGCTTGAGCTGCCTGAGCGGCGCTCGCTTCTGGTTCTGGCCATCGCCAACTATTCCTGTCATGCGCCCGCGTACAAATGCAGCGGTGTCGCTTGAAAGTGTTAAGCGAGTTAAGTCAGATTTTACAAAGAAATGTATAGAGAGTCAAGATAGTTTTCGATTTATAAATTTCTGTGTAAACAGTTTTCCACTTGCCGGGGTAAAAGAACAATATATAACATTAAAGCATTTGATTTTTACCAAACATACTTTAATTTGTTTGGAAAAACCTTTTCGTCTCGATAGTTAGATTTTAACAGCCTTCTTGCCATAWGTGCTTTGTTAAATTGCAAGAAAAACACAAAAGGTCAAATATCATAAACAGGATTTCTCAAAATCAGAACTAGTTACCTCATTTGCCGGGGTCGATCCTTAAAATACACACATTCTAAATTACTGATGTCGAATCTGTGGTCGATTGAACGAATTTATACTTTTCGTTTTTTACTTTCAAAAAGCTCCGATTTGAGACGAATATTTGTGAGATCCTTCTTCAAGAATAGGCACTTTGTGAAGCAAAAGCCTTTAAAATTATTCGCAAAATACGGTATGTTTGGTACCTAAATAAAGCTTGAATCCTCAGCTTTCGTTTGCCATCGTTTGTAATAGGATACCTATTAAAGCACAGGAATACCGTAGCAAAAGGTTTTGTTTCTCTAAGTCCGGGCCTGAGAGAGCTTGGGCTTCCTGTGGTTTTTATTTTATACATGATATCCGCTGACTTGGCGAGCAGCGCATGGCCGGAATAGTTGGCGATGGGCGGCATTTCTCTTCACTTCTTGTGTTTATTTGGCTCTGTTCGACTTTCTTTTTCACTAAGCTTTGAGGATTTTTTTCAATCGACTTTTCTGGCTTGTTTTTTTCACTCGTCGCCAATGTTGTGTCCGCAGAATCCACAATAAATAGAGACTTTGATGTTATTCGTCCTCGTGCTTTATTCCTCACACACTAACTACACACACGATTAAATTACATGTATGTGTCATGTGACACATGGCGTGACAGCCGGAAGTAATCTGGATATTACAAGTTCAAGGAAGCATTCAAAGCTCAATTTGACAATGGCACATCACATTTCATGGGATTCAAACAAATATATTTTTACTAGGGAAAACGAAATACGAATCGTCCACCTATTTCGTGCACAATAGACCATTTTCGAGTTCCAAATTACCGCTGTGTTTCTTGATTACAGGCTCATTTACACAGGATTAGACACGATTTTGTGCAGAATATTCACGTGTTCCAGTCAAGGTCCGTCGAATTTCAAAGTGTTTGTGTTGTTGAAGTTGTGCCTTTTTTTAATTTATCGTTGGTATTTGTGAATATTTAGACACTGATACGAGACAAACACTGTATGTATGAGTCTGTAATCAAGGAACACAGCGGTAATTCGAAACTCGAAACTTGTCTATTATGGAGCTAATGGCGAAGGTAATGTAGTTCACAGTTCAAGTAGGCAATGTGTGTTGGGACTGAATTATCCGCCTGTATATTCTCACATTTTGAGCTTTTGTTCAAGGTTATCGAAGGCAATTACTGTTCCTTAGTTATTATATTTTTGAACCAATTTTCTAAACATATTTTGCTGACAATTAATGTAAATAGCTTTACAAAACTGTAGACATGTATATGTATAATTTGATGGCATGGAGGCAAATTGTGCATCATCTATAGCAATGTTTTTATTTGTTGTTCAATATTTTGAGCCCATACAATTTCTATGTATTTACACGCCATGTTTGATTTACTCATGTGTAACTCTGCTGAGGGATCACGGGCTCAAAAAGTCCCAAATAGTTGACGATGTCTCCTATATTGGTTGTTGCTTGCACCTTGTTAAATCTTCTGGCAAAGTTAAATTGAACAGTGAAAATTAACTAGCGTTATCGTTAAATGATTCTGGCATCTCTTGGTGCTTGAGTATAATTTCACTCTAGTTCAAAGAGCACTAGATTCTTCATTGTTATCGTTGAATGTTTCTAGTTTCTTGGTAATGAGTAAACGAAACAGGCTTATTTCTCAATTGACACGGTTTTCTTTGTTATTCACAAGGCTTTATTTTTGTTATAACCCTCATTATAAATGCGAGGTCAATTTATAGTTATTAACCCGGTTAATAACTATATATAGACCGTTCGCATTTATAATGAGCAACATTTGAAAGAAAACCTTCTCAATTTATAAATAAAATACTTAATTACCTAGAACGTCGGCAATAAGCCTATACAACCCTCGGGCCTGCGGCCYTCGGGATGTATATGGCTTATTGCCTCCGTTGTCGGTAATTAACTCTTACTTTATGATAGATGAGGCGGTAGGCCATGATAGATGAGGCGGTAAGCCGTGTGGGAAGGGCTCAGAAGCCATATAAGAACACGGCGTAATAGGTAAATTACGA